CATTACTTGTCCGTAGAGCAAGTCTTCATAACAATGTACCACTCAGTCGTCATAATAACACGCTTCTGCAACCGGCCGACCGTCTTTTTTTAGCAAAGAGTGTGCATCTTCTTTAGGCTATCGACCGCAACTTCTAGTGCACTGTGTCTCAAACACACTTTCGTCGAGTGGCTCATGTGCGTCTACCGTTTGATCATTGCTTTTTCCCACTTCGCGAGTAAAAGATAATCTGCTCCGTTTACCTGCGACCCAAGTCCTTTGATGTTGTTTGCGCTCGTGGCAACTCGGCCAAGCATTGTACCACAATCGCCTTTCAAAGCTAAGATGGTCTTCGCACTGCGAGAAACCCCATCTTCAATTGTCGTGGGGATCGAACCTCACCGCCATCGTCAGAGGCATTGTCTGATCTCTCCGATGCACCATCGTCTTCGGCAACGGCAACCAGGCAACGTGCTCCTACCGAGACCAAAGGCCAACTTCCTGCAACCAAGCGCAGGCGCTTTGGTCCAACCAACGCTTCCTTGTCGTTGCGCATTGCCGCAGCTGGATCATCGACCTTCAACCTCCTGCCGTCCTCGCCGACACCGACGCCAGCGCATCAAGCTGGTTCGTCCTCCAACCTGCTGCCCTCTTTGCCAATCATGGCAACGTCCTCTGGCGCCTCAGCGAGCACGGCTACGGCTGCACCTTCTGCGAGCCAGCCGCCTCCGCCGCCAGCACCCCTCGCCGTCGGTCCGTCTGCACAGTTGGCCAGACACATACCCAGCGTCCAATTGAATTGCCTGCAGGCATTGTATTTGCCTGCCAAACGAGTCTGCTCACCAAAACTCGTAGTCCGCCAAGCTGCTGTTGCTGGGCCCTGGCGTGTTGCGTCAGGCTCTCTTGCAGATCCGCCTTGATCACCTCCAGCTTGTGGTTGAAGCTCTGCTTCAAGTCAGCCATGGCCAAGGCATGATCTTGAGCTTGAGTTTGGCGCGAATCTTTGGCCTTCCACAGCAGTGTCGCCCATCTTGATCTCCAAGAGCCTCGTCCAAGGCAAGTCGGCGGGAAGCCTGCTTGCATGCGCTCAAATTTGCGCCAAGCTCAGACTATCAATGTCCTTGCAAATGTAGTGCTGGCCAGGCACATCCCTCGCAAAGGCCTGAGGATGCTCGCTTGGCCTAAAGCCCAAAGGAACCCTTGCAAGAGCATGCAGTGCCCGCAAGATTGCAGGAGTGTGCAGCCAGTGGTGCAGGCGGCTGCCTGTTTGTACCTCCAGAGATCCGGCATTGGCCCTGTAGCAGGCAAGGCTGAGTGAGTGAACGTCGGGTGCATGCCCGCATACAACCACCATCACTCACCATTGAAAGTCATGTCTGACAAGTCGGAGCAGATCGCTTTGCATGTCGTCCAGGTGATTGCAAGCAGGCAGTACTGGCCAGGCCGCTTCTTGCTCCAGCATCCTCTGCTGGACACAAAGCAACACTTGCTGCCTCCTCACGTTGCGAGCATGACGCCTCTGTGCGGCACGGGCTGCGTGATCACAAGACTTGAACGTCTCAGTAGCTTGCAGCTCTTTCACATGCTCTCAAGATCACTCACTTGTAGCAACTTGACAGTTCCGGCTTTGTTTTTGGTGGGCTGCCCCTGACCGTTGCCACCATTTGTCTGCAAAGAAGTGCCAATGACCTTTGGGACACCACCATTGAACGCCTTTGCATTGGCCACTTGACTCTGAGGAGTCTTGCCTTGGCATACACCCTTGGTTCTGACTGGGATGCCAGACTTGGACTGGCTTCTGGCACATGTACTGTCATCGACACTGTTGGAGAGCGTGTTGCCCTTGACTATCAAACCGGTGGGGCTGCTTGGCAAAGCAGAGCAATGAGCAGTCACAGCAGCGAATGTAACCTTGGCACTTGGAGTTGACAGGGCTTGCGTTTTCTGCATCTGCCAGATTATTGTGGTAGGCGGTTGCAACCTCCCTGAAGGTGGGACTACCTGCTAGCTTGACAGGTGTTGGCATGTCTTCTTGCTTGGTGTCAATATCAAGGTCGCCGGAAGCATGGGCTCTGCACCCACTTTGCCCACCTCCGTCAACAGTCTCTTGGCCTCAGACCTGAGGAGCTGTGCAACAATTAAGCTTCCAGGACTGGCAATTGCAACCCCAACAAAATGTGCAGCAGTTGCCAACAACAGTGCTGGCAACAAGACTCTGACACAGATCAAAGTTGCGGGTATGAGCATTGGTGACAGCGGAGACTCTCCTCTCCCTGCAAGGTGCACATACCAGACAAAAGGAGCAGCTCTTGCAAGCATGCAAGGCGTTCCTCTTGGCTCTTTGGCGGACCAGAGGAAAAGCCTTGCAAAGTGCAGCAATGTGACCTTGGAGGTGAGCAAATGCTGTCTGACCACCATTGCTCACACTGACCAACAAATTTTGTCAATGCCAGTTGAAACCCTTGCCAAAGCAACTGAGCGCTATTCCTCAGTACGACCCAGACCTGTGCTTTGTGCTGTGCAAGCACTACCCAAAGGGTTGACTTTCTTTGATGGTCTTTGGTCCCCTGCTGGACATGCAGAGTCGCGAGATTGACCTGAAAGGTGCCTCAAAGGCAATGCTGGCAAAGCTGGAAGTGCCAGTCTTGCCAGAGACTGAGCAGCTGCCCATGGGTCGCTGGTCCGGCTTGCGGCTGCTTGCCTTGGCTGCTGTTGGCTCTGCCGCCGTGCTTGTTGGTGGGCTGACAGCTCTCAGCACGCTCTAGCAGAAAGAGCTCTACCCAAAGAGTGGCACGCAGGCAAGAGGATGAAGACCCAATCACACCATGAAAGAACTTTGAGGAGAAGGACACAAGCATGCTACCCTTGGGCGTTGCTTTCGACAAGTGCTTGACCAAGAGCCTGCCCTCGAGACGATCCGCTGGCACAAAACAGATGACGCGCCGATGAACATTGAAGTGTGAAAACAGATACAGGTAAGGGGGTTTGAGTGATGCGGGTGTTGTCGCCGATGTTGACGCTGCAAGAAGAGCTGAGAGCTGATGAAGAGATGATGGTACAAGGAACAAATAAGAATCAGTTGGGGTACCAAGCACTTCATGGGCGGAGACCTTTGCCAAACTGGCTGGATGCTCTCACCGTTGCTGCTCACCATCAGACCCAGGATATCCATGTAAGCCTGCCGTCCCAGATGGACTTGGGCAACTTCTCTGCAGCCAATCACTCCCATTGAGCTTCAACAATGCACCTGACTGCATCCGCATCTGACAGAGCCAGGTATTTTGGCCACATGACGCTGGACAAGCAGCACAGCTTTTGATCCACTGGCAGAGCGGCCAGTTGCATCCAGTGCTTGAAATGCATTGCACCCTAATCAAAGCAGCCTTTCTTGTCCCACGCAGCCTGGTCTGGTTCAGCCGCTCTGCCTGTTGGGCGCTTTATATTTGTGATGTGCAACGTTTCACTCATCCTGCCGTGTTGTTCTGCGCCCCCTTGCGCTCCTGCACGTTCTGCAGCTGCCGCTCCAGCGTTTAACCCCGGTCCTGCGACTGGCCTAGCTGCTCTGCCATAGATTCTCTTCGCGCTCTTTGATAGCACCAAAAGCTGTT